CATTCTGCAGAACACCCCGTCCGTCGGACTGGTCTAGCCACACTTACTTGTGCAGATAGACACTTGGATAGTTCAAGTTTTTGTCTTCGGTCGTGAAGCTGGTGGCTGGCCTAGATAACGGGGATGAAAAGCTTCTACCGTAAATGAATACAGGGGTGACTCAATTTAGTCTACGGGGTGACTCAATTTAGTCGTTTGCTACCGTTGTTCGCTTGTTCGCTGCGGATGCTGGGGTACATTAGTGGAGCTGAGTTTGGCGCGGTGCCAGACGGTTCTTCATCAGTTGTTGAAGCGGTCCAGGCGACGACAATTGGTGGAGAGCGGACTGGCAGCACGTCAAAAATGATCCCCCCCCCTCCCCTCTCCTTCTACGCTCCAGTATTCGCTGCGAACAGGTCGGCAAGTAAGAATGCATTCACATTCACAATTCTGGCTTAACCTTTAATTGTAAGGGTGAGCATTGTTTTGTTGTCATTTTCAAGGATGTATCGCTTCAGTTCTTGTGATTCTAAGAAGGGTCAGCAGAATAGCTTCCTCTGCCCATCCACCTGGTATGTCGGCACATCTTCTCCTATAATGTGACATGGAATATCTGGAAATAGAATGTCGGGACGGCATTAGGCTTACCAGGTTCAAGGATAGTCTTAGCGTTGATACGAAGGAAGGCTGGGTGTTCTGGAGCAACCTTGAAGAGCTTCGAAAACTTCTGAATAATTAATCATTCATTAACATCCTTTGTGACTTAATGGCACCCTCCTCGATCATAAGATGGCCAGCGACTCATAACCATTTTGTATTCTCTTCCTGGTGTGTCCCTATTCTCGTTTCAGAAGAGGGGCGTACCAGTGACGTTAGACTACGTTCATACTTCACGGCGCGTCCACCAGCGTCCACTAGCGTCACGAGCGTCCGGCAGCGTCAGCGACTAGGAAAGTGTAGATATCGATCTAGCGTCTGCCAGCTTCATCTCTGTCAACCTTCTAACCTTTCACGCAGCGTACAGAGCAGAGATTAACAGAAAAAGCAGGGTAGCAAACACTGGATAGCGTCGTGAATGCGGCGTGTGCAACCGCTTCGCACAAACTGCTGAAACATAGAGTTATGCAACTTAATGTGCGGTGTATTGTAGATGTACGGTACGATTGCACATGCCACAGTTTCACAACGCCTAATCCAGCTGTTTGCTACCCTCCTACTTCCCCAAACCCTCTACTCTCGGTCGTTGGGGACCTTGTACCTCTAGATCGATATTCTATACTTCGCCTCGCTAGATCACCTCTGTACTCTCCTAGTCGCTGACACTGCCGGACGCTCGGAACAGTACTGGACGGTGATAGACCCTGGTTGACGTTGCCGCAAAGTCGCCCTATTTTCTGTTCTTCTGATTATCAAGACTCACGTCTCTAAGAAGAATCTAGTTAAGACAGTACCTCGTATTTTTTCAACTTTACTGCCTTACGCAGAAAGTACGCTAATGGTATCAGTGACGGTAGGAAGATGACCATAGTGGCTAGTAAATGACCATGGCCATATGCCGATTGTTCTGGTGAAGCCTGGAAGCAAAAACCAGAAACTGGAAAATTGGTGGTGATGTGATGGAATATAAAGAGTAATATAGATTACTAGCTCAATGAGAAAACTAAAAACAAAAGCGTACCCCCTCATACCACCATGAGAACTGCAACCATGTGGTTTTTGAGTGGACATCAATAACTTGCAATATCTAAAAGCTGGAAATGAGATAAGTCCTCAAAAAAGAATGTGCGTAGCGTTACTTCCGTGCCTCGCCGAGCCCGACAAAGTGGGCGGCGCCAGCGATTTGCGCAACCTTCGCACTAGGACCTAACCTACTCGACGTGGCAGCTCTGTGGACTTTGAGTCAACTAGCTAGGAAATGCTCTGCTAACAGGGTACAGCATCGTGATGGGTGAAATGGTGGTGTAGGTAGGACCCCTCCCTGTTCCGAAAGAGGGTGCCATAGCTTATAGTTTCTCATCCAGAGATTTCCCGTCGAGCGGGGAAAGGGGGGAAGGGGTTAATAGCCAATGTGAAAGGGGGATAATCTTTAAATTCTCCCCAGCTTCCTGCGACTTTTTTCAGAAGTTCCCGGAAATTTTCCTACTTTTCCCCAAAAATTTCGCTGTCGAGGGGGGGGGGTATAGCATACATGGAACGCAGCAAGTTGCTCTTAAAGGCACGTACGACCCTCCCCTTTCTCAACGACCAAATACGACCCCCCTCCCCAGCGGAAAAATACGACCTCCCCATATGTCTTTCACACAACGATGCTGTGCCCTATTTGCTAATGGGGCGATGCCGGGACTTGGCAGTAAAGCATACAACTAAAAAGGGGATGGGTCAGCGCAGTGACCAGATGAGCTGGATTACGCGGTAGGACCGAAATGCGAACAAAGAAGAGAAGAACTAGCGTACCAGAATCACGAAAAAGCAGTAATTATATGCCGGTATCGTTTTCGCCACATTAAACCATGACCAAAAGCCATCACATTCTCCAATTAGTGATACCATATCGATTTCTAACTCATGGGTACCTGAAAACAAGAAAAATTGTTATGATGGGTAGAATTACCTGATTGAAAAGCTATGAAGCAAGCATGTACTTAGCGCAGTTCTGGGCTATTTGAAACAACCTGCAAGCAATCATTTCGTAAACAACCGAAATTACCGAAATTGTTCACATCTTCCCTTTTAAAGATCCTTTACCCTTCACGCGCCCCGCGTTCATTTTATGTTCAGCACCCTTCTTAGAAAATGATAGTCCTTGTCCGCAAGTATGGAGGATTCGCTACTTTCACTGCTAAAAAATACGTGAGGAAGAGATCCGAGAAGGGCCGAAAAAGTGGGCTGAGCCAAGGATTCGTCACGACCCACCCGAATCCTCGGCTCCGCCCACTGGCTACGGCAACGCCCCACTTTCACTGCTAGAGGTAACCGGTGGTGCGGTTGTTCCGCTACTAGCTCTCCCCATTCCTAATAGTGAGGGTGAGATGGAGGTAGAATATGTGGGATGGGCTGGCACCAGGAAGAGAAAAATCGTCCGAGCACAGTTTGTCTTCGCCTTATGCATATATAACCGCCGCTCAGCATGGGGTTTTAATGGGGCATTTCGGACGGGTTAGTACTGTTTTTTCTTTTTTCTGTTACTTACCATGTCATCAGTGTTTTAGTCGCACAGCTTCTCGTTTTCGAAAGTGGGGTTTGCCTTCAAAGATTCACACCTCTTTCACAAGTCAGGGGTGGTACGATTCAAATGTGACTTTGTAAGCGATAATAAATCGTGGAAAGTGGAAAAGCGGAAGATTGCGTCGAATAGTCGCCCAAAAAATTTCTTTTCTGAGTTGAATGGAAGCTTTATACAAAGAAATGTGAATGATGGTGAAACAGTGGGCGCGCAGAAGAGAGACCAGACAACCCAGCTGAGAGAGAGATAGAGAGAGAGAGCGGACAGCCGCATACATCACAAAGACGCGAAAACTGAGCTCAAGACCGTACTATAATCGCGCTCTTATAGGCGTCGATGTCTGGTATGGGCGGGAAAATCATATGACCACAAGCCCTTGGCTTTCTTACCACACACTTTTGAAGGGCAAACGTGGAACATAGTTCATGGTAATGGGCTCACCTTTACTTCATATAATACTTTCCCTTATGGAGAGAACTCTATCTGTCAGGTAATTACGGAATGTGTCCTTGAACGGAACTGTTCAAGATCGTCAGGTGGGTGGGGCCTGACATCACCGTGGTGGTGCACTTATCTTCGTCCCGCCCATAGAAATCAGGAGGAGGGGTGCACTAACTACATCAGTTTCCTGGCTCCGCCCACCTCGCAATCTTGTCTGTGGCCTTAACGTGGGGAAGATTTTGTATGAAATTAGCGCCACTTTCTACCCTTCACCCCTGTTTTTCGTGCTATTTGCCCTCATCATTTAACAGCAGGCGCTTCAAAAGCATGGATCCTTACCATAGATATATACAAAAACAATAATCATGAAGAAAATGTAGAGGTTGATGGAAAATTTGACGGCTTCTTCTTCTATCGAATGAATCCCGTGCGAAAACTGTAATGTTTTCAGGAAATTAAATTGCAGA